GATAGATAGATAGATAGATAGATAGATAGATATTCTTGTGAGACACTGGTAACATATAGGAAACACCTGAATACTTTAAAACGTTTTTACCAACCATGTAGAAGAAAGGTTACTGGAATTTGCCGGCAGAAGCTCATTTGTGATGTTGAAGTCCTTACCAATTGTAAGTGCATGAATTTTGTAAGTATCATCCTGCAACATCGTCTTAGGTGGGATGGTCATTTGGGGGAGAATGGAAGATTAGTGACTTCTGAAGCAGGTTTCCTATGGGGAGTTGTCTGAGGGGAAAACATCTACAAGACAAACCTGAAACTATTTTCAAAGATTACCTGAAGCCATCACTGACATATGCACAAACTGGACTTGAGGACATTTGAGAATGTTGCTTTCGATGGTAGCAGCTGAAGGCGTTTCTGGTAAGGATATGCAAGTGCATTTGATAAGAGGGAACAGAATCCCCATTTGAAAAGTGATCTCATGACAAGGATACAAGCTGAATCCGTTAGTCGACATTGGATGTAATTTCACGTGTCTTCAATGTGGTAAAAAATGTCAAAGTAAAGCTGGCCTCAAAAGTCACGAGTGACGTCACAGGAACCGCAACGTTATTAGCTATATTGAAGATGGTCTGAAAATATGTAGACGTTGGGGAAAAGAATCCGCTTCAATGGGAGGCCAAAAGAAACACATGAGAATTCATAATAATAACCAGGTAGCAGCAGCAGCAGCAGCAGCAGCACACCTTGGATCTTTTCAGCTGTAACGTTTGTGTAAAACAATGCCAGTGGGAACTGAACACGGAGGACTACCACAAGTGTCTTCAGGATGTAATGCTGCCCTGGGTGAAGAGGATGGCTGCTGGAGGACCCTGTGTCTGGTAACAGGCCTCACAAGACGGTGGACCCAGTCATGGCTCTCAGATAATTTCTCAAACCACATAAGCCTTTACTTCTGGCATCCTACCTCCGCAGACTACAACGCCATTGATTATTATATGTTGGTCGGAGTTGAGCAAGAGAGCAAAAATTCTCCTTGTAGCACCAATGATAAATTGAAGGCAAGGAATATGATAGTATTCACCAACAAGGAGACCATTCAGAAGAGGTAATTGAGACACCGAAGTTGATTAGAGGCCGTCGTTGAAGCCAATGGTGAGTGTGTAAAATAAATCTACACGTTAGTATTTCAAGATAATTTTGTGAAATTTGGGTAAATATCACTGCTAAAATGCGATGTCAGTGTTATTTTCCTTTTTGTGTAATTTAAACGAAAATTTATCCATCGCACCCAATATATATTTATATATATATATATATATATATATATATATATATATATATATATATTAAGAAGAAGAGAGAAACCGCAAACATTTTTGGTTGTAATATGAATTTTTTGTTTAAATATTATGTTTTATTTTCCATAACTTTGCTACACAGTTTCCGATCTCGCGACCGTCATCAGGCAAAGCGATATACATATATATGACTAATATATATTCATATATATGTGTGTAATATAGATACATATATGCGTGCACTATACATATATAAATTTATTTATGTAATATTTATATGTGTAATATATGTGTGTGTGTGTAATATTTATATATGTAATATATATATATATATATGTGTGTGTAATATGCTTATATATGTAATATAGACAGATATATGCAATATATTTATATGTGTAATACACACACAGACACACAAATATATGCACACTGATATATATATATATATATATATATATATATATATATATATATATATATATATATATATATATAATATTAGTGGTAAATATACACATGCATGTGCAATCATATATCTAAAATATATAAATATATATACATACATGCACATACATATATATTTGTATAAAAAATAAATCCAAGAGGATAGAATCCAGGTAGAACTCAATATCCAGGACAGAGTTAGGATATAATAAAAAGGCTTAAACACTAATATTCCATGGTCATAATTTATTCCATTGGAATCGTAAATACGATCCAATTCATCAGACCTACAAATTCAAAAAGAAAACAGAAAAAACATCTCTGGGAACAAAAAATCGTCCTGAACGTTTCTAGTTTCTAAAGTAAATGATGTTTATACGCATGAGCTTCCTTACTAAAAATTGCCAATGGTTTAAAATGCTGAAAAAAATTATTTATACAAAATTACCCAAGAGTATTTGTGTGAAAGTGAACGCAGCCTCCTCGGCCGAAATAAAAGTCTAACATCGATGTGGTAATTGACGTAGAACATGTGATCAACGTCCCGAATTCTAATGATATGTTGACTGCTATATTTTTGTCGAGTATCCGTTATTATTCCAAAGAATAAAAGAATGTCATCGTGTGCACTGCTCGCTGCTAATGAAATTGTTAACTAACGATTTCAAGTTTTGCTACAATTGAAATTGTTACCATTTAGTCTTCAAAGATATGGCTTTGCGATTCTGATAAACTATTTTAGAGATTGACAGCTAACCTCAATTTCAATCTAACACTAATATCTCAGTAGAAAAAAACTGACTGGTTACATTTAATACCTCGAAAACCATACTGCCTATATTCCATCACTGCCGATTGGCCCCCTAACTACTGCTATTCACGATGAGCGGATCTCCCCTGGAGGAGGCTCCATACCTTGAGAGAACAATGGGCCTTAAACCCAGACCAGACCTCAAATGGAAGTCTTATATAGTATCCATCGCTAAAGATCCAGGTAAAATGATGATCTCGCTATATCGCTCCAGTATCTGACTCCTCGTGCTTTCCTCTAATTTTATAAGACCAATGTCATATTTTGGCATGATCTGCCCAGTCCTCACTTTCCAGTCTTGATAGAGTTCAAAAGCGTCCCAGAATCCTTGTTGTGGAAGAATTATTTTCCACCCTCCAACCTCTCTTTCATAGGCGTGATGTGGCGGGTCTCTCGCTACTCTACAGTTACTTCTATGGAAAGTGCTCAAACGAGCTACATTCCTTGGTTCCGCCAAGTCTAGCCTTCACGGCTTGAACCCGACATGCCACTTACATAGCAGCAAAACACCAACATTCTCTTCATATTCCATCGGTGAGAAGTAAGTTCCATTCAAACAGCTTCTTCCTACGAACAACTGCCTTGTGAAACATGATGATGTTTTCCTGATCATTACAATCTTAACCTGTTTAAGTCTAGAGTTAAACGTTATCTTCTCCTCCTATCCAGATAAACTAACTCTTAACGTAAACCTCTACCACGAGTGACCCCGGGCCTTGTACAGGGTGAACCTTATTGTAACAAAAAAAAAAAAAATCTTGTTAATTATTCGACGCCTCATCACCTCCAACATCTATTTATCTCTTCCCTTGAGGAAGTAGGCAGTCTAGCTATTCCCAACTTCGTAACCTTTGTAAGGTTTGGCTTTTCACCATTCATCTCACTCCATCTTCTGTTGTCCATTTACAAAGGCCTATTAGCTCGGTTACTTGCTGGTTTTCTTCAGTCTTTTTTGCCTTCAATATCTCCTGTCAGCGTCAAATTCTCCAGCCTACTTTCTTCGTTATGCGTCTTTGAAATTTCCTCTGTTTTTTATTCTGATTCTACATATAAACTTCCATTTTGGTTTAATTTCCCTTGAAACATCCTCATTACTCACATGTTCAGTTCATGGTATTTTCAGTAACTTTCTGTAGGGGCCAGAAATAAATACACAAGAGAGGAATTAAGTTAAGCAAATATATTAACAGAAACAGTAATACAAACAAGAGTGTTACAGCAAGAATGTTCAGTACGACTGTCAGAGCTGACTGCTGGAAACTCCCCTCTCCAAAAAGCAGTACCTGCTCCTATGTATATCTGGGAGAGTCCATGCTTGCGTTGGTCAAGTACCATAATACTTCTCTTGTCTCAAATGTTCTCTTAATCAGTGAGGAGACTGTCCAGTGTTCGCTACGAGATAAGACGATTGATATAACACAATTCAGCATTATTATCTTACTAACAAAATTTTCCTGTTTCTTAATACTTGGCTTTGCTTTTACAAGGCATATTTATCTATCTCAATGCAACTTCAGATTTCGGTGTAACATTTTCTGTTTTCTGCTAAAACAGTTCCCAGATGTTTAAATTGTTGCACTTGTTTCATTCTAGCAGCTCCAATTCGTAATTCGAATAAACGGGAAGCTACCTTTAGTTGGTGCCGCCATAAAATCAACTTGGACAAGGCAGCGGGAAACTACTCTACTAAGAATCCCAAGATTAAACAATCATTCGTTGTACAGAACATTATAAAGTCTACTGTCGTTAAAGTCTCGTAAATCCTTCATCGTAGACTAACAATTTATTTAATTTCGGTAGGGTCGACTAAAAACTCCGTAGCAACTTTAATATTCTACGCATCTTGGTTGCTTAAATGTTCCTTACCTGAATGTGCAGAAACTTTCGGGGCTTTCACAGGGAAAAAATACTACCTTTTAACCTAGGCTATTTGATTATGGCGTCGTTTAGTTTCTATTGCTACTATTAATAATGTCGAAATCGTTAATGACTCAGCTGTAGGAAAGCTGGCTTTGAAAACCCAAGGAGATAGAAAGGTAGAAACAGGGAGCTTTGACAAGGTGTAATATTTATCCTTATACGGTCAATAAAATAAGCACTAGATACACTTAAGCGACACCTGTTCTGAATGACCAGGAAAATGACCCATAAGCTTTTGGAGAAGGAAAATAACTCAATAGTGAAGCTATCTTGTTACTGTTGGTTTCAATTCAATTAATAGATATTAGCTAGTAAGTCAGGCGCCTTTGCTTGCAAGAAACAGTCTGTTTATGAATAGTCTCGAGCAGGAGATGTAATATTCACTCCCAGCTCAGTCTTCTGTCTATTCAGAAAAACTTAATGCTGTTTTTTTTTTATAATACAAAGGAAATATGGTCGTAGCTAATTTTCTTACTTAAAAAAAAGAAAAGATTTTGAGAGCATTTTCATGTCTTTCCAGCCGTCCACATGTACATGTTGGTTTTTATCTATTTGCTTCTACCTTACTCTCTTTTTTCATTCTTCTCTTTCTCTCTCTCTTTTTTTCTCTCTTTTCTTTCTTTCTCTTCTCTCTTTTTTCTCTCTTTTCTTTCTTTCTTTCTTTCTTTCTTTCTTTTTTCCCTCGTCTCTTTCTTCTCTTCCTTTTCACTCTTCTCTTTCTTTCTCTCTTCTCATTCTTTCTCTCTTCTATTTCTTCTCTTTCTTTCTACTCTCTCTTTTTTCTTTACTTCTATTCATATCACACACCTTATTCAACATTAAAATTTCCAGACTACCCTTCTACTTTGAGTGGCTCTAGAATCTTGTACTAGGCGAAACTTAGTATAAAAACATCTATCATTCCATTATCTATCTATTCATCTATTCATCTATCCATATCTATCATCTATCTATCTATCTATCAGACAGTCACTTCATTATTTCTCATTCGGTTCATTGCCTATCAGTCAGTTCATTATCTATCTATCTATCTATCTATCTATCTATCTATCTATCTATCTATCTATCTATCAGACAGTCACTTCATTATTTCTCATTCGGTTCATTGCCTATCAGTCAGTTCATTATCTATCTATCTATCTATCTATCTATCTATCTATCTATCTATCTATCTATCTATCAGACAGTCACTTCATTATTTCTCATTCGGTTCATTGCCTATCAGTCAGTTTATTATCTATCTATCTATCTATCTATCTATCTATCTATCTATCTATCTATCTATCTATCTATCTATCTATCTATCTATCAGACAGTCACTTCATTATTTCTCATTCGGTTCATTGCCTATCAGTCAGTTCATTATCTATCTATCTATCTATCTATCTATCTATCTATCTATCTATCTATCTATCTATCTATCTATCTATCTATCTATCTATAAAGCAGTCATTTCATTATCACTCCATCATTTCATTATCTATCTATTTCTCTACCTATCTGTCAGTTCGTCATTGATCTATTTATCTATCAGTCAGTTCATCATCTCTCTGTCAGTCAGTTTATTATTTATCTAAGTCAGTTCATTATCTATATATCTATCCATCCATTCGTGTAAATCTACTTATATTCTGCTATTCTTGTGTGGCAGAGCCGTTATCACTTTGACTCCGAGGGATTTATATACTGACGTCGTTCAATAAATCATATAACAATATTTCTTATGCAGTCGTAGATAATGCATTTTTCAGCCATATTGCTTAGGTGTTTGTTATTTATCACGAAAACCAACAGAAATATGATGAAAACATACAAGTCAAACATGGATAATAACGATAATTCTAGATACTTTCTCAATGTGCATGCCTCTCCAAAGCTTACCCATACTTCAATATCTGTAAACTGAATTGTCACGACTGCTTTTAGAAATGACATTAGACTAGTTTTTCGTTGCTTTAGTCACTGTTAGGATTCCGAATATTCTCCTTATAAACGCCTCTAATCAATTGACAATGAAGTCTATTGAGTTAAGTCTGTCCTGCTATTTGACCCATAACTAGAGGATGTCTAGACGTTTTCTTTGTGTCGTATACTTTCAAGACATAGGCGATCATAAGTTTACACACCTGCCCGTTCTTTGTAACCTTTAATAATTTCTTTTTTCCATTAATTCCAACCTCAGTTCGGCCTTCAATTCATACAAGCTGGTCAGGTATTTAACTCGCAGCCCCTGTGAGAGTCGTATTCTCCAAGCCCACCTTCTATATTATGTGTCAAAGAAATTTCAACTGTTTTTTTTTTTATTCTGTGCATGAGTGTCATTTCTGTTTCTAGTTTCCTTAAGATTTATTTGCTGCTGGTATTCTCAGCATCCTTCTGTAGAATCAACATTTCTTTTGCCTCAAATCTTCATTACATGGGTGAGGAAATTTTCCAGTATTCACTATTGTATAGGCGAGGAGAGAATGACATTTTCTAACATTACAACAATCTTTTCTCTGTTTGTAAAAAATTTCCACCGTTTTTTAGTGTTTTGTCTCGCTTTTGGAATGTATTTATACTTATTCTGATTAAATGATTCGTTTTATACGGTTTATCAACCCTTTTCAGGTTATTTAAAGCCAGAAAATACTTGGGTGAGACATGAGTGAGTTAATTTACATATGTTTAATACGGCCCGTCAAAAATGTGTAAATTTCTTTTCATTTTTTGTTTCAACCTTTGGAAGTAAAGTCTGATGATCAGCAGTCCTTTAAAAAGGCTGTGGTGAAATAATTTATTACATGGAACCTTAAAGTGGTTTGTTTTTATTTAAGTTATTTGCTCTGGATTTACATTGAGCTCTCTGGATTTTATCCTCCTTAGGTTTACCCATACGGATTACCTAGTTTTTCATAAACTATATATATATATATATATATATATATATATATATATATATATATATATATATATATATATATAAATGCATACATAAATTAGATATAAAATTAAATTAGATATAAAATTATTAAATAAATACTCCTAA